TCCTGAACTGGTTGCAGTTCCACTCTGTGTCCATATGAGGGCGTTCACGGGCGGAGTGCAGAATGAATGGAGGTCTATGGAGCAATACCCCTCAAAAAACTTCTCGGGATATCATTTTTTGTCTAGTAATTTGAATGTTGTATTCGAAAGGAGATCCAAAGGAATTGTGTTCGATTTTTTTAGAGTCACTTATTTGCTTTAAAAAGTCTTTTAAAATGTCAATGACGTCATATACATCGTACGATGGTTCTTCCGCGCATAGACAGACAAGAGAAGCAGCGAAATTTAAAAATACAACTGTTATTCTGTCACGAAATTTAGTTTGAATAGTTTTTCAGTCGACAATGTAGTTGTTCGAATTTGTGCTCAAATTTGTGGTTCATTAATAAAGATAGCGCCTGTTTAAAAATGTCATCTGACGTTGTAAGAGCCAGTCTTTCACCGGGTTCTCAGCACTCATGTAGGCCCTAGGACAGGATATATTAGGCTGCTGTCACTTTAAGACTGATCCAATGTACTGATACGCATGCGTGACACATGTCTGTGCACTAACGCCGCCTTCACACTGGCAGTTGAAATCAGCTCCGATGCGGCTGCGAAATGACCGGAAGTCATTCATTTCCTATGGAGATTCGCAGATTGCATGCGAATGGGTCCGAAACGGGTCCGACCGAGTGCGGTGCGAAGAAAATCGTGTCCGTTGGTCATCCGGATGCGTTCAAAAATTCGAACTCTTGCGAAAAGCTACGGACGGTTCCTATCCGACAATTCCTGCTATGGTACTGATAAACAAACCTGAATTATTAACTTTTAATAAAATAAATATTGATTTTATAACGATAAGTTGTGATGTCTTTTTTTTATTTTCATGACTTTCTAACGTTTATAAGGGCAGTTAATACAATTAAATTGAAGGTAGATATTAAACTATTGACCACTATATCACATTTTTTAGCCGACCTGACATGTCAACGTCCTGAGCAACTTTCCTCACGCAGCATAACCCTCATCAAAGAGATCATACAGAACTGACAGAATCAAACTTTAATCTCTCCGCCATTTTTGTTCTACCCGCGTCCGACGCTTTTCACTGTGTAGTACGACGTCCGTTGGGAACGTATTGCGTATTACGGAGCTGATTTCAACTGCCAGTGTGAAGGCGGCGTAACACCTAGTGATGGGAAGTCCGGTTCTTTTCCGCGAACCGGTTCTTTCGGACAGTTCGTTTTAATGAACCGGTTCAAAAAAACCGGTTCACCAGTTCTTTTACGTCATCACGTAATGACGTCAATTCTATCATCCCGGCGGACAAAAATACTTCAAATTAAAGGCATTTGTAATCACAACTTCAGTTAAATAATAGTATGCATTGTCATAATCATCTTGGATAAGTTTCTTACATTTACATTTTGAAAACGAACCCTGCTGCAGCCTAGGCGATGTGCTAACGCGGATGTTTTACATGTTTTAAATATATAAAATGCATAAATGGTCTTCATCATTTTATTTGTTATTAAATAAACTTACATTTCGCCGATTCGCCCTCTCATTTAAGTCCTGGGTTCACCCGTACTACTGCGTGCTCATGTGCACAGGATCAGCCGGCCGAAAGAAAGTTCTGTTCAGAGACGGTGCTATCACGCATGCGCAGTATCTCCAGCTCATCGGTTCTCCGTATCGAACGTGTCCGAAAGAAACAGTTCTCGGTTCTGCACTAGTGATTCAAGAGCTGCAACAACCAGTTCTCGACTCGAGAACCATAGCATAGGCCTGTGCTGAGCTGAAACCTGAATATACAGTCGACAAAACTAAAAAATCGATGCATGTCTGTCTCCAATATAGTGTATGTGATATGATAGGCACATCATGTTTATAATGTGTTAACATAACGAATTAAACATATATGTTTAATTCGTTATGTTAACACATAAACATTTACTAAGCAGTGCACCAAACCTTGGCAAGAGTTTACATCAAAGATTTATAATATTGTTACTTAGAAATTAAATGAGCTGTTCCTGAAAATATTATTTTAGTATAATAATAAATGTTTAGTAGTTTGACAGTTTTAGAATCCAATCATTATTTCCAATCGTTAAAATAATACAGTGATACAGTAATGGGATAAACATGTTTCCAAAATGTTTTTTTTTTTTTGTTACACTTACTGATGTTCAACTAAAGACGTGGAAACGTACATTTCGTCCCTCAGAAAAAAAATGCACGCATGCTCAGCTCATCAACTCATCAGTTCTCAATATGTCGAACGTGTCCGAAAGAAACAGTTCTTCTCGGTTCTGTACTGGTTATCCGACCGCTGTATCTGTACGTTCGGTAGTACACGCATGCGCAGTATCAGCTGCTCGTGCTCATCACTTCTCTCAGAACCAACATATGTCTCCGTTCAGTGAACTTTTTGAGTTACTGGAATAAAATGTACTTCTGGATATTGGTTTATTTCGATTCGGAGGGACTGTCAGGCATGTCTGAAAGTGAGTAACTTTAGTAACTTGTGGTTTAGCGCTGACGCAAGACGCGAACTGTTTCGAACGATTCAGTCCGATTTAGTGTACTGGTTCGACCGGTTCACTAAAAAGAACCGGTTCAAAAGAACGATTCGTTCACGAACCGGCCATCACTAGTAACACCTCACATACAGCGAGTAACAAACTGAGTGCCATTTTGCTTCTTCTTGCAAAGAAACAAAGTCATAATGTGAGATTAAAAGTCACAATTACTTGTTTTATTCCCTAGTGGAAACAAGCGACGGAAACTTGCTTTTATTTGATAATTCGCCCCCTCAACAACTGTTGTTCCTACTGAATAACGGCTCTTTAGTTTTGGGATCATAAACTGAATCAGTGTGTTTGACCTCACCTCGGGTGTGTCTAACACACACGCGTCTGACAGAGGACCACTGCCTTAAAGGGACTGTCATTGATGCATTCACCGTTTATGACTATTACAGATTTTTTCCACTGTTAAATATGCACTTTACAACTCGGCACCGCTGTAAACACTGCAGAATGCAATACACCGTTCCTGATGGAGGCTTGGAAGGTAGAGGAGTAATTTATTACAGTTTAATCTGAGACTGGGTTTCATCGGCTTGACAGTTTTAGCTCTGGAGAATCAATAAAAGCTGGAGTAGCCTAACATCAGGTCTCGAACCCGACGAGCTGACTCTAAAAATAACCTACAGTGGGCCGATGATGTTACAGACACCAGAGACCAGCAAAATACTGTGGGACTGCTACGGGAGAATGTGTGTGTTCTTTCTGCATGTTATTGATTCATTAACATAGTGCGCTCAGATTCCTCTGTTGACATTGTCAAGAAACGCAGTCATTTCTGTGCGGTGTTGACGGATGTTATTAACGGCGTAAGAAACTCTGCATTAAACTCTGTTTAGTGTCTAATGCAGAATAAATGTTCAATAACACTTGAATGCTATTTTTATATTAAATACTCCAAATTCCATATCCTCATTCACCACCATTAGAGTTAATTGTCTACTGTACGCGAAAAAGAAATTAATTCTAAAATTAGCTTTCTTGAATTTGAAATTTCATGCTTTCACGAGTAGTTTTCCCTAACGTGCTTTATAACCTACATTTCATGTTTTATGTTTGCTCCATACACACCTCACTGGCTTATTGCTTTTATAAAACAGTTATACAAATATTTATTTTAATATTTCACAGGTGTAGCCTATGTCTATAGACATGCAGGGCTCAACCAATCAGAATCAGGGACCAAAATATCCATTTTAACCCTTTCGGTCAAAAATTACAGATTTTTCTTTTTCTTTTATTTCAATGAAATGGTTGTACTATTTAGTTTGATAATGATTTTATTTTATTTTTATATTTTTTTATGGTTCTAAATTGCATTCATGCAGTAGGCCTAGTTATAATCCATCTATTCACTTTTTGATAAAATGTACACGTAACTGTCATAAATCGTGAATGCGTCGGAGCACAGACTTCAGCTTGGTCTATTTTTTCTTAAAGTTGTAAAATTTAAGATTTATTGTTATGAAAAATTCACAAAAATAAAATGTTCAACATATACAAATGTGACTATTTTTCAAGGCCGTTTATTTATCAAGTTTTGTAGGCTACTATTCAAATGAAGTATTTCTTTTTTAAATAAAATCATAATAAAATCATATTTTTATGGGCGCAAATAACAGTGATAAATACGTAAAAACTGACAGTAAACGGTCCACCCCCAGTGTTTTTGAACTGTCTTCAGTATTCTGCCAAACTCAGTGTTGAATATCTCTCCGGTGGACCTCATATGTCATTACTAAACATTACTAAAATATGTCATTACTAAACCATGCAAACTAAACCATGCATTTCTGTTGCAAAGATAATATATGTATTAATATTTGATAGCAGACACTTGTTGTAAATAGCTGGCTTAACGTACTCAAAGATATAGACAGAAAGGTCAAAAATGCTACAACGGTCTCCCCTAAAGTCACACAGGAGTAGAAGGACACAGGACGCTGAGTAAACAGAATTGAACTGTCCCTTTAAATTCTTTTCAAATGTTTCCCACAGACCATATTTTACTCATAACAGAAGTTATTGAGGGAACACGACTAATTCTGCTTACGGCAACGCGAAATCGCTCGAAAAGAAAATTTACAGAATCGCTCGAAAAGCGCATTTACACCGAGCAGGCGTTCTTTTTTCAAAAGTTATTTTTAAAATGCTGAAAACTTTGTATGATTTTCACAGGCAGACACAATGACCTGATGTGCGCTCAGAAAAGAAAGCGACGCGCATCTGTACAGACTGATTTCTACTGAAGAAGGAGAGAGAGAGAGAGAGAGAGAGAGAGAGAGAGAGAGAGAGAGAGAGAGAGAGAGAGAGTTTGTGTGTGTGTGTGTGTGTGTGTGTGAGAGAGAGAGAGAGAGAGAGAGAGAGAGAGAGAGAGAGAGTGAGAGTGTGCGTGTGTTTGTGTGTGTGTGTGTGGGGGGGAGAGAGCGAGAGCGCGTTCAGTGTTCACGTGTACCGTGGCAGATCTCCTCCACCGGTGAAGCGCGCGGTCTTGTCTTCATCTGCTCGCGGAATGAGCGCGGAGAGCCCCGCGGATCAGCAGTACCGGACTCTGGCGCTCGACACGGCGCTCGGCACCGGGCTCGCAGTGCTCGTGTACGCGCTGTTGAAGCTGAGCCTGTCCGGGCTCCGCGTGTGGCGCGCGCGGGTCTCGGTGCTGGTCGTGGGCGCGGGTCCGGTCGGGCTCACCGCGGCGCTGGTCGCTGTCCGCTCCGGGAAGGTGCTGAAGCTGACGCTGCTGGACGCGCGCTACCGGAGCGCGTTGCTCTGCAGACCGCAGCAAATCGCGCTGGACCCGCGCAGCGTGCGCTTCCTCCTGGACCTCGGCGTGGACTTCGACAACATGGAGGGCTGCTGGCACAACGAGCACTTCTTCACCAAGATCGGCGTGTTTCAGGAGTATCTGCTGAGCATCCTGGAGCAGAACAAGCGGGAGGGGGGCGTCGAAGTCCATCTGGGCACAAAGGTTCGTTTCTCGCAAAACAACCAGAACTACTTCGTAAAGTTAGAACCTGATTATTTTAGTCACCTGCTTGTCCTGACCTACTCATAATTACATGATGCATTAAGCTGATAGATAATGAGCTATAGCTCTGGCCTGATCACACAGCTGGTAAACTAGCTAAGACAAGACAGCTTTTTATTTCATGATGTCACATGTGTAAACATAATGATATGCATGATTCAGAAATGCTTGATATTTGTAAAAAGATATTTATTGTTTACCTTGAAAAGTAGTTTTGAAAAAGTTATGGATGATGAGGATGATGACGATGAATACACTCACGTCTTAAAGGTGCAAGCAAAATAAGTTATTACAGTAACACTTTACTATTCGGCTCATTAGTTAACATTAGATCACTGCCTTAGTTAACATGAGCTAAGAATTAACAATACTTCTTCAGTATTTATTAATCTTAATTAATATTATTTTCAACATTTACTAACCAAAGGTAGTATTTGTTAACATTAGTTAATGCACTGTGAACTAACATGAACAAACAATGAATAACTATATTTTTATTAGCTAACATTAACAACGATGAATAAATACTGTAACAAATGTATTGCTCATGGTTAGTTCATGTTAGTTAATGCGTTAATGTTAACTACTGAACCTTATTGTAAAGTTTTACCATTATTACTTATTACATTAAATAGAATCAGGTCCATTTCTCCTCAGAGGTTTATGTTCACACATGTTCAGGTCTGACTGTCACTTACCACACACAGGAAAAGAAATCCAATCGCAGTAGTTTATTTAATAAGGGCAATCCAAAATCGTAGTCTTCCAGGCAGGGGCCAAAATCCAAATAATCAAACCAAACATGAAAAATAAAACACGAACAAGCTTGAAAACAGACTTCCGAAGTGGTGACATCAAACAACGACTCCGTAGCACATACTGACACAGACAAGGAATATATACATACAGATCTAACAAAGAACTAACAAGGAACAGCTGGGTACAATGATTAACGGGGAACTGCTGAGTGCAGCTGAGAACAGTGATTGGTACAGTCAAGGATTGTGGGGAATGCAGTTCATTAAAGGGTGATACCGCGGGGAAGAGAAACTCTAGTGGACACCCGTGGAAACACAAACCAGACTCTGTGACATAATAACCCCCCCCCCTACGGAGCGGCTACCAGATGCTCCATGACAACAACTAAAACATAACACAAGAGTTCAGGAGGGAGGTGGAATGGTGGAGGATCAGGGGAAGGGATGGTAGGCCAGGTCCATGAAGGGAAACAGGAACAGGGGTTGATGGTTTAGCCGGGGACCAGGGCGAAACAGAGAGTCTATCGGGCGGCCAGGGCAAAACAGAGAGTCCACCGGGCGGCGAAGGAGAAGACATTCCATCAGGCGGCCAGGATGGTGAAGACCCTTTGGGTGGCCACGGTGGTGAAGACCCCATCGGGCAACAAGGGGGGTGAAGGCCCCTAGGGCGGCCAGGGTGGTGACGTCACCTCATGCGGCCATGGCAGAGGCTCTGGAACAGACACTGGCACTGGCTCCCGGCTCAGGAACAGCAGATACCGGCATGTCCAGGATCCGAGCCAGACGTTTCAAGTAGTCCATAAGTGTCTTTGTGGCCACACGAATGGGCATCTCCAGTCTCTTACTGGGTAGACGGGACGTGAACAGCCTCTGACTGGGCAGACGGGACGTGAACAGTCTCTGGCTGGGTAGATGGGACGTGAACAGTATCTGGCTGGGTAGACGGGACATGAACAGTCTCTGGCTGGGTAGACGGGACATGAACAGTATCTGGCTGGGTAGATGGGACATGAACAGTATCTGGCTGGGTAGACGGGACATGAACAGTATCTGGCTGGGTAGACGGGACATGAACAGTCTCTGGCTGGGTAGATGGGACATGAACAGTCTCTGGCTGGGTAGACGGGACATGAACAGTATCTGGCTGGGTAGACGGGACGTGAACAGTCTCTGGCTGGGTAGACAGGGGTGAACAGTCTCTGACTGGGTAGATGGGTCGTAAACAGTCTCTGGCTGGGCAGACGGGACGTGAATAGTTTCTGACTGGGTAGACGGGACGTGAACAGTATCTGGCTGGGTAGACGGGACGTGAACAGTATCTGGCTGGGTAGATGGGACATGAACAGTATCTGGCTGGGTAGACGGGACGTGAACAGTATCTGGCTGGGTAGACGGGACATGAACAGTCTCTGACTGGGCAGACGGGACGTGACGGGACGCGAACAGTCTCTGACTGGGCAGACGGGACGTGAACAGTCTCTGGCTGGGCAGACGGGACGTGACGGGACGTGAACAGTCTCTGACTGGGCAGACGGGACATGAACAGTCTCTGACTGGGTAGATGGGACATGAACAGTATCTGGCTGGGTAGACGGGACATGAACAGTCTCTGGCTGGGTAGACGGGACGTGAACAGTCTCTGACTGGGCAGACGGGACATGAACAGTCTCTGACTGGGTAGATGGGACATGAACAGTATCTGGCTGGGTAGACGGGACATGAACAGTCTCTGACTGGGCAGACGGGACATGAACAGTCTCTGACTGGGCAGACGGGACGTGACGGGACGTGAACAGTCTCTGACTGGGCAGACGGGACATGAACAGTCTCTGACTGGGCAGACGGGACGTGACGGGACGTGAACAGTCTCTGACTGGGTAGACGGGACGTGAACAGTCTCTGGCTGGGCAGACGGGACGTGAACAGTCTCTGGCTGGGTAGACGGGACATGAACAGTCTCTGACTGGGCAGACGGGACGTGACGGGACGTGAACAGTCTCTGACTGGGCAGATGGGACATGAACAGTCTCTGACTGGGCAGACGGGACGTGACGGGACGTGACGGGACGTGAACAGTCTCTGACTGGGTAGACGGGACGTGAACAGTCTCTGGCTGGGCAGACGGGACGTGAACAGTCTCTGGCTGGGTAGACGGGACATGAACAGTCTCTGACTGGGTAGACGGGACGTGAACAGTCTCTGACTGGGTAGATGGGACATGAACAGTCTCTGACTGGGTAGACGGGACGTGAACAGTCTCTGGCTGGGTAGACGGGACGTGAACAGTCTCTGACTGGGTAGACGGGACGTGAACAGTCTCTGACTGGGTAGACGGGACGTGAACAGTCTCTGGCTGGGTAGACAGGGGTGAACAGTCTCTGACTGGGTAGATGGGTCGTAAACAGTCTCTGGCTGGGCAGACGGGACGTGAACAGTCTCTGACTGGGTAGACAGGGGTGAACAGTCTCTGACTGGGTAGATGGGACGTGAACAGTCTCTGACTGGGTAGACAGGGGTGAATAGTCTCTGACTGGGCAGACGGGACGTGAATAGTTTCTGACTGGGCAGACGGGACGTGAACAGTCTCTGACTGGGTAGATGGGACGTGAACAGTCTCTGACTGGGTAGACAGGGGTGAACAGTCTCTGACTGGGCAGACGGGACGTAAACAGTCTCTGGCTGGGCAGACGGGACGTGAACGGTCTCTGGCTGGGCAGACGGGACATGAACGGTCTCTGGCTGGGTAGACGGGACGTGAACGGTCTCTGACTGGGTAGACGGGACGTGAACAGTCTCTGACTGGGTAGACGGGACGTGAACAGTCTCTGACTGGGTAGACGGGACGTGAACAGTCTCTGACTGGGTAGACAGGGGTGAACAGTCTCTGACTGGGTAGATGGGTCGTAAACAGTCTCTGGCTGGGCAGACGGGACGTGAATAGTTTCTGACTGGGCAGACGGGACGTGAACAGTCTCTGACTGGGTAGATGGGACGTGAACAGTCTCTGACTGGGTAGACAGGGGTGAACAGTCTCTGACTGGGTAGATGGGTCGTAAACAGTCTCTGGCTGGGTAGACGGGACGTAAACAGTCTCTGGCTGGGTAGATGGGACATAAACAGTCTCTGGCTGGGCAGACGGGACGTGAATAGTTTCTGACTGGGTAGACGGGATGTGAACGGTCTCTGACTGGGCAGACGGGACGTGAACAGTCTCTGACTGGGCAGACGGGACGTGAACAGTCTCTGACTGGGTAGACGGGACGTGAACAGTTTCTGACTGGGCAGACGGGACGTGAACAGTTTCTGACTGGGTAGACGGGACGTGAACAGTTTCTGACTGGGCAGACGGGACGTGAACAGTTTCTGACTGGGCAGACGGGACGTGAACAGTCTCTGACTGGGCAGACGGGACGTGAACAGTCTCTGACTGGGCAGACGGGACGTAAACAGTCTCTGGCTGGGCAGACGGGACGTAAACAGTCTCTGGCTGGGCAGACGGGACATGAACGGTCTCTGGCTGGGTAGACGGGACGTGAACGGTCTCTGGCTGGGTAGACGGGATGTGAACGGTCTCTGACTGGGTAGACGGGACGTGAACGGTCTCTGACTGGGTAGACGGGACGTGAACAGTCTCTGACTGGGTAGACGGGACGTGAACAGTCTCTGACTGGGTAGACGGGACGTGAACAGTCTCTGACTGGGTAGACGGGACGTGAACAGTCTCTGACTGGGTAGACAGGGGTGAACAGTCTCTGACTGGGTAGATGGGTCGTAAACAGTCTCTGGCTGGGCAGACGGGACGTGAATAGTTTCTGACTGGGCAGACGGGACGTGAACAGTCTCTGACTGGGTAGATGGGACGTGAACAGTCTCTGACTGGGTAGACAGGGGTGAACAGTCTCTGACTGGGTAGATGGGTCGTAAACAGTCTCTGGCTGGGTAGACGGGACGTGAACAGTCTCTGGCTGGGTAGATGGGACATAAACAGTCTCTGACTGGGCAGACGGGACGTGAATAGTTTCTGACTGGGTAGACGGGATGTGAACGGTCTCTGACTGGGCAGACGGGACGTGAACAGTCTCTGACTGGGCAGACGGGACGTGAACAGTCTCTGGCTGGGCAGACGGGACGTGAACAGTCTCTGACTGGGTAGACGGGACGTGAACAGTTTCTGACTGGGCAGACGGGACGTGAACAGTCTCTGACTGGGCAGACGGGACGTGAACAGTCTCTGACTGGGCAGACGGGACGTGAACAGTTTCTGACTGGGCAGACGGGACGTGAACAGTCTCTGACTGGGCAGACGGGACGTGAACAGTCTCTGACTGGGCAGACGGGACGTGAACAGTCTCTGACTGGGTAGACGGGACGTGAACAGTTTCTGACTGGGCAGACGGGACGTGAACAGTCTCTGACTGGGCAGACGGGACGTGAACAGTCTCTGGCTGGGTAGACGGGACGTGAACAGTCTCTGACTGGGTAGACGGGACGTGAACAGTCTCTGGCTGGGTAGACGGGACGTGAACAGTTTCTGACTGGGTAGACGGGACGTGAACAGTCTCTGGCTGGGTAGACGGGACGTAAACAGTCTCTGACTGGGTAGATGGGACATGAACAGTTTCTGACTGGGTAGATGGGACGTGAACAGTCTCTGGCTGGGTAGACGGGACGTGAACAGTTTCTGACTGGGTAGACGGGACGTGAACAGTCTCTGGCTGGGTAGACGGGACGTAAACAGTCTCTGACTGGGTAGATGGGACATGAACAGTTTCTGACTGGGTAGACGGGACGTGAACAGTCTCTGGCTGGGCAGACGGGACGTGAACGTGAAAATTAGAACATTTTTTCATTAAACAGATTTAGTGCCAACTAACTAACTGTCATGTGTCTGTCATATAATGAAGAGGTGATCGTATTTAACAGGCATTAATAAGGATAAACCATTGGCCATTCTCTTTTTGCTCTCTCTTTCGCTTTTGTCAAGGCCAACCGTGCTTTATGGTTTGCTCTAAAGTGCTGGATCTTATCTGGGTGTCTGCGTGCTGAACGCGACTCATTTCCAGTCGAGACGGGTTTGTGTGGGACTCTTATATTGACCGAGGGACAAGCTATTCGTCACTGAAGCAAAGATTCTTTCAGAGAAAATCAATATCGTTGGTTATTTATTATGCCAGAGATACTGAAGTGTCATTCTAGCATACTATAGACACTATTTCATATGCAGTATGAAGCATGCAGTGATCAAAATGTTTGACAAAAGTGCTCACTTTTAATGCACTACATAGAATACTGTATCCCACAATGCAATGCACTTGCATATGACATCACACATCTCATCATATGATGCAGCTCAAACGTGTGCATGATGTGGCAACCAACGAGGTTTGATGTGCGACACACACCTGTGTGTGTGTGCCGATCATTGTTAATATGTGACTACATGCCTGAATTAAATCTGTTCATCATTTAAAGGGATCGTATCTCTTCAGAAGCCTTGGATTAAACAGACTGATTCATATATATGTGGATCTTCTAAGTTCTGTTTACCTGGACTTTCAATGGAGGGACAGAAGCATTTAACACTTTCACCGCCGGCATTGTAAAAAAAGTTGCCAGCCAGCCAAAATTTTCAGGCCCTCAGAATATTTTGTTCTATTAATATCTGAACATGCAATACATCAAAAGAAAGTACAGAGCCTCAAATACAAAACAAAACATTATTCTAGCTTAATGCATTATTTTTTTATCAGCACTTTGAAAGTGGGTATGGTTCATTAAAAAAAAAAAAAAAATTATCCAACACTTTGATGGGATTCAGAACGAAGATTAAAACACAGATGAGTAGATCGAGTTTATCAATACAACAAAGCTTCAGTCGTTAGCCCTTCCAGTTCGTATAGTAACGCTGGGCAGTTTTGATGTAAATGCTGTTAAATGTTGATGATCGCGTTATTTGACATGTGCGTTAGCAATGCTTCTATCACTTGTTTCTGCTTCTTCTCCTGTGTTCTGAGATACTGTACTCTTTGAGAGGATGTGTAATAGCGCCCCCTAAAACACGGAAAGCAGAACACTGCATCAATGGGGGGGAAATATTCATTCAAATATCTTAATTTGTGTATTGAAGGTTAACCAGTCTTATGAGTTTGGAATGACATGAAGGTGAACAAGTTTTTGGCTGAACTAGCCCTTTAAATTCTCAACTTTTCAAGATTGTTCTTTCATTTATGAATTTATTTTATTTTTTATTTGAAATCTAATTAAAAGTAAAAAATAACCACTTTTATTTCCAAAATGATAACAAATGATAACAAACATCCACTGTAGCAGCCCTTCAACTTGGAATAAACAGGCTTGGGAGTGTTTCCATACGGGCGTACTTTAATTCAGACGAGTGTGCATGGCACCAACACCGTCAAAACTTAAAAGGAAAATAACACAAGCAGTTAAGTCAGAAACAAAATAACCCTTTGACAAATGCACCATAGCAAGCTAGCATCACATTGATAACAGCATAGCAGGCAACAGCCATCATGAAATTAATCTCATTACCATTTACATGAACGTATGCAATGAATTAATATGAAACGGTACATTATAATGAACCACATACCTCACTCCGCATATCAAAGAGTGCTAAAGAGTAGTGATCCAGGGGGAGTCTGCCACCATTAACTTAACTTGGACGTTAGAGAGCTATCTAGCAACTTCGTAAACTATTCTCAAACTATTACTGCCAATCAAATAATTACAGAGGAATAACACTTCAAAGGAAAAACATTTTAGTTTACGTTTACAGTATTATTTTCCAACCTCTGACAGACTCTAAACATGCATTGTCTTATATCATGCCTTCTTGCGTTTACCCTTTTTACGAGTGAGCGCGTGCGCATATGAAAATAGTCCCCCCAGTGCAGATAGCATGATGTCAAAATAAAAGTCGCATAAAATAAAAATATAAAAAAAGAGGATAATCATAATAAAACACTGCTAATGGTAATCTACATCCGCCTTGATGAACGTGTACACACTAGCTTTGAAGTGTTTCTTGTTGCATATTGTGTGCATTTCACATAAATATGTTTTTACAGTGAGGAACGAGATCCAGTTTGAGTAAATGATTTCTCTGGCCTCGGACTCTCTTTATCCCACGTCTCTGATGTATCTAGATGAGCTCACATCCAATAAACCAAGCAGCCTTGAGTTTCATTTCATTTACAGCTATTCTGGGTGACAAGCTGTCGCCTGGTTGAGTAAAAGTGTCCTTCTGCTCCGAGGAGAACAAACCACCGATGAGAAACCGAGTCTCTAGCTGTCGCTGTCTGTGCAGATCCACCTTTGATGCTCTTACACAGTCTGAACACACAAGTCTGCTGTTACAGGATGGCTATCCTTCTTCTAACGTTTCATCTTTAAGGCTGAATCCAATCCACTACAACAACACTCAAAATGTGTATTTTTAAATCCACTTTTCTTATAGATTTACTATTCAGGCAACACTGGTCCAGTTGCATGTATTTGATTTAAAATAATTGGTTAACTTTTTCAAGAGCTGAAGAGCACTGCGTGTGTTGTCGTTTCAATCAGTCACTAAAAAGACACATAGGAGGCATTTATTCAGAAATCTCTTCTAGATTTTAATTTAAAGGGGACCCTTTTACATGGTGTTAAAACAATGTCAAATATTCTCCCATTCCACTCCCATTTGTACTCCCCATAAATTATAAACAGTGTTTCAGAAGCCATTTGCAGTTTCTATGCAGTGTGATGTCACATTGCACAGGCCCCGCCCATAAACAGCTGACAGACTCCGCCCTATTAGCATAGCTCCTCCCCTCAGTGATGTGTACACAGTCCGCCATGTTTATCTCCTATCAGTAGTTATTCATTAAAGAGCAGAAACTTTATGTTTTTCTTTTGTTGTTTGATTCATATTTACAGCATATACAGCAGTAAGTACTGTATATTATGCTGCTGTCACTTTAATACACACATATAGGCTATATATACACATGCGATTTTTTCCCCCGTGCTGTTGACGGTGTTTATGTGAACTTTGTGTGTTTTGACAGTTTAAGCACAATAAGACGCTAAAGAGAACTCACGAGACGCTGCGTCTGACATCCGGCTTTCTGTGCAAATGCTTCGGAAGTGTGCGCTCAGAAAACCATATTTCAGAAGTTTAGACTGATATGACTTATAATAAACTTTCATGATGATGAAGAACTGCAATGGCATGTGAGCATGGCCGCGATAGAGATGATCATCAAAACCAAACAGATGTTTTAGTTCTTGGAGTAACTGAGGCACGAGCTGTACAGGCTCCGCCCTTTTCTGGAAAGAGGGCGGGGAGTAGCAGCTCATTTGCATTTAAAGATACATGCACGAAAACAGCATGTTTTCAAAAATGAAACTTCCGATGACAACCGAGATTTATATTACATATTGTAGAAAGGGGGCATAATCGGTCCCCAGTAAAAGCATGAGGCGTTTGCCCTGGATCTGACAACACCAGAGCGCTGATGTGTGGTTCTCCTGTAGTTCAGTGAGGAGTACCTGAGGAAGATGTCCAGGGCAGAGTGGCCGCGGGTGATCGTGGTCGCTGACGGCTCGTGTGGAGACTCCTGCTCTGTGCTGGGCATCAGCACCGATTACATCGTCGAATCGTGCCACGCTTACGGGGCCAATGCCACGATAGAGAGACTGGACCAGAGACAGGTGAGCTGCAAAAACACGCTCACATACAAGGCCTTTAAATGTCATCTCACAAAGTAGCATTTTCAAGTTAAAATGACCATGTATTATGCCTTTTTCTTCCTTTATTTTTAAATCATTCCCCTGTATCCCGCTCCGCTTCTCAAGCTGCGATCCTCAGAAATCTCTCATTGTGTTCTTGAATATGAATGTTAGCCTGACGGTCGGTGTTCATGAGGTCATCATGGTCCTACTGGGCTGATTCACTTTATGAATGCTGGAAAGGAAATTAAGCCATTATGAATAATAATCGAGTCTATTTCTGCCACGGGGATGCAGGTGATCCAGCGAGAAGCATGAACTGCACATGTTTCAGTGATGCGGTCTGTAATTGGATTGTTTTTTACACAGGTTTAGAATGATGCTTTGTATAATTGATTTTCTCTCTCTCTCTCTCTCGCTTTAGTAAATGGGCTCTGTGTTTGAACAGATGGTAAAGCAGGTTTAGCTAATGCAGATAACCCAGGGCCGCTCGCGTCCCCTGACAGGCTGTTCTGTTAGTCTTTGTTATGTATACAGTAATTCATCAAGGAAGCTTTAGCAACCTTGATAAGGTTCAGAGATAAGCAAGGTTTCAGTCAATTAATGCACCTGAAACTTGGCGCTGGATATTGAGGATTCACGGCCATTGACCATAATTTTCATGACCACTTCTATCTCTCTGAGGCTTAATGTTCATGAAATCAAAACTGACAATTTTGGGGTTTTTTTTTGGAACATTGCAGTGTTTATTATAAATATTCAAATATTGAAAATCGATCCATGATCCATTCAGCAGTGAGCGTAAATCTGTTCGGACAAGCTCTTGATGGGCAGAACATGTCCTGCTGGATTGTGCTGTACTGATGCTTCTGCCAGCATTATTCAATTGTTTCAGCAAATAGTGCCTGTTGGAAGATTCCCCTTACATCCCCCATCAGTCCAATCAAATTTCCTGTCCTCATTTCATCTGACTAAAAGATCTCCAGTTTTGCCCCAGATGGGAAATAGAACAGGCGATTCATCTTTCTACTCTGCAATAATTCGTTTGTCAATCATTGGGCTACAGGTATAGTGAAATTTGAATTATACATAAGCTTGAAGGTAAAGATTTGTTTGAACTCTGTTTTCTAGGTTCCCACACCAGAGATCCGTGCTCATAGTCTGTACTTTGACCTGTCGGCGTACGGGCTTGAAACCGTGAAGGACCGCCGCAGCTCCGGCCAGCCCGCGGCCAAGCCCGGCTTCCACCTGAAGATATACGGCACCTTCCGGAACCGCTGCATGGCTCTGGCCTGCACTTCCGAAGCGGACTCCAAAATGATGCATTTCCTGCGCCACACGGCCAACTCTTCAGTAAGGCGCCACCATCCCAGCATGCATCTGTTTGTCTCGAAAACTTCAACTTAGGTTCAGGGTATTCTATGCATTCTTAAAGATATTCTGCTCGACCTACTAGCCGACATGACGTCAGTTGGTGTTCAGTGGTGAAACAACATTGAAACAATGTTTGATGTAAAATATTAGGGGTGTGACCGCGATATTAAAATGTGACGAGATACACTCACCTAAAGGATTATTAGGAAAACCAATCAACCAATCACATGGCAGTTACTTCAATGCATTTAGGGGTGTGGTCCTGGTCAAGACAATCTCCTGAACTCCAAACTGAATGTCAGAATGGGAAAGAAAGGGGATTTAAGCAATTTTGAGCGTGGCATGGTTGTTGGTGTCTGAGTATTTCACAATCTGCTCAGTTACTGAGATTTTCACACACAACCATTTCTAGGGTTTACAAAACATGGAGTGAAAAGGGAAAATCATCCAGTGTGGGTCAGTCCTGTGGGCTAAAATGCCTTGTTGATGCGAGAGGTCAGAGGAGAATGGGCCGACTGATTCAAGCTGATAGAAGAGCAACTTTGACTGAAATAACCACTCGTTACAACCGAGGTATGCAGCAAAGCATTCGTGAAGAAGACACAACACACACAACCTTGAACAGCAGAAGACCCCACCGGGTACCACTCATCTCCACTACAAATAGGAAAAAGAGGCCACAATTTGCAAGAGCTCACCAAAACTGGTCAGTTGAGGACTGGAAAAATGTTGCCTGGTCTGATGAGTCTCGATTTCTGTTGGTAGAGTCAGAATTTGGCGTAAACCGAATGAGAACATGGATCCATCATGCCTTGTTCCCACTGTGCAGGCTGGTGGTGGTGGTGTAATGGTGTGGGGGATGTTTTCTTGGCACACTTTACCCCCTTAGTGCCAATTGGGCATCGTTTAAATGCCACGGCCTACCTGAGCATTGTTTCTGACCATGTCCATCCCTTTATGGCCACCATGTCCCCATCCTCTGATGGCTACTTCCAGCAGGATAATGCACCATGTCACAAAGCTCAAATCATTTCAAACTGGTTTCTTGAACATGTCAATGAGTTGACTGTACTAAAATGGCCGCCACAGTCACCAGATCTCAACCCAATAGAGCATCTTTGGGATGTGGTGGAACGGGAGCTTCGTGCCCTGGATGTGCATCCCACAAATCTCCATCAACTGCAAGATGCTATCCGATCAATATGGGCCAACATTTCTAAAGAATGCTTTCAGCACCTTGTTGAATCAATGCCACGTAAAATTAAGGCAGGGGGTCAAACACAGTATTAGTATGGAGTTCCTAACAATCCTTTAGGTGAGTGTATATCGCCATGATGGGGTGTGAGAATGAAATTAGCATAGAATATGCCACCACTATGTTACATTACATTACCTCCACTGTCCTTTTGCTTTTTTATAGGAATAACAAAACATTTAATTCAGTTGGATAAGAGTCGCTTCAATTATAAACTAAACATCTGCTCTGCTCATCCAGCACGAGCTGCAGTCGCACAGTGCAAGAGTCATGTCCACTGATCACATGACGAGAGCGAGGCGAGATGACTGACAAGACTACGGCGGAGGATTCGTTGTGCAACAGAGCCGACGCGTCTGATAAATGTCTTATCTTGTAGAATGCGCGCTCAGCACCATCGCTCCCTCTACGAGCGATCGGAAATTAAAGTAAGCGACTAAAGTAAAACACGAGATGTGCGCAAATTAGGCTGCAAACAATAGTCTCCCAATATCAAACCATCTCTGGACTGTGTAGTGGAGGCTCTGGTCTCTGTTTGCACTTGAATACTGAGAGTACTTTGGTTATGGTTGAACTTATTGCACTTTTTACAGTGCTTGTATAGTGTTTGTCTTTTTCTCTTCCAGTCATGAATTTTTGTCATTGAGGAATTCCTAACAATACTGCGCAAAAATCCGTTCTCGTGAACACAATCTCTTGATAGTTGTAAAAGGTTTACAAAATACTTATATCAAAAGTTGTAAACAGAGTCTAAAAATAAGAAAAGAACAGAAATAGCACAAAGATGTGAGCGGTTGAAAAAGAAAAGAGACAAGATGTGTCAGGGCACAGCCGTCAGAGCAGGATATGTAATTCACTGTTACCTGGTTACAGCCACCGTGTGTGTGTGTGTGTGTGTGTTTAGAGGGAGTATAAAGCATGTAGGGAGGGAGACTGAACGAATCACCTGACCTCTGTGTTGACTCAGATCATGAAGAACATCTTCCACCAGTCGTTCAACGCGTACAAGACGGACATCGAGCCTCGTCTGAGCGAGCTCACGCTGCACCACATGCAGTGCAGTCGCAGGCTGTTCGAGATCATGCTGTCGTACAGGCGCGTCAGTGCCGCGTACATCGAGGGAGACGGGGTGGCCGTGACTGTGGAGGGAGAAGCAGCGAGAGTGCTGAACTTCGACACCGGTGAGAACAGCAGCGTTTCAACAAGTTTCTTTTTTATACTTGTGCTTATGGATAGTCTTCATTTACTAATTATATATCATTTAAATGATAAAAACCGAAAATGGAACCTACATTTTGTAATGCAAAAACAGGAAAGCTTTTTAAAAAATGTATACACTTTAAAAAAGTCAATACACGTTAAAGCTGCTGTCCGTAACTTTTTTTTGTGTTAAAAATTTACATAAATTATAAAATGAGCAAACATGAATCCATTTTCCAAACCGTCTTTTTGTCATATCCTGAATCACTACGATACGCTTATAATAAGTGTTTATATTGGTACTATTTTAGACCGGTTGGTCTAAAATAGTATGTTCCTCCGCAAGATGCATGCAGTTCTGTTTATTAACCACTAGAGCGCCAAAGATTACGGACTGCAGCTTTAAGTGAATGGCGAGACCAGATTATGAAGTTCGGTGAGGCATGTCCTTATGTGTTGCTGTGTTCGAAATCGCCCTCACTATTCCCTACATTACTCCACTAATATGTAACACTTGAAGGAGTGAGTGAATTCGGACATTGTGTGCTCTGGAAATCTATAATATGAATATGTGTTTGCTGATCTGTCAGGCTGCGGTGTGAACCTGGGCATGCGAGGCCTGGAGTCGCTGGGGATGTTCATCTACAGAACCGCCACGGCTCTAGACCAGAGCGACGTGTTCGAGGCGCTCTCGGCCAAAATCCAGCACTCGCGACTCGTGGCGGAGACCTTCCGGAAGAGCGGACTGACCTCGGCCGTGTTTGAATGACCCTGCGTGTGTTATGAGGGAAGTTATAAACACAATGCTTACATATAATGATCAATGTTGTGATCGTTTGGGAATGATGAATATCCACTGCATATTGGAGTGACCAAAGCTTTAATTTGTAATTTATGTATTTGCATTTATTTTGAAATTTCTTTTTTTTTATGGTGCAAGATGGAAGCTTGATATATATATAAAAAAAAGGTAATTGTGACTTTTTTATCCCACAATTCTGAGATTTCTAAGAAATAATATGATATATAAACGTGCAATTAGATAAACATGTTTTTTATATAAAAAACCTTATATCACAAATCTGTAAAATAAGAAGTCGCAATTACCTTTTTAAAGTTTTTTATTCTTATGTTGCGTGTGCAACCCGATTCCCTGACACTATGCTGTGTCTTGGTGTTGACAGACACAATGGGGAAAGTCCTCCGAGTGACCGGTGTCTGAGGCCAGATGTAATCGTAGCAAAGGTTATGCTTTTTAAAACATAAACGCACTTGTGTAAATGGCCTGAAACTCCTCACCATGCAGGGTGGTGCCAGGGTGTCCCTAGGGTGAGATCGGGGCATCAAGGTGAAAAGTTTTCTCCTTCTTGATTCCTGACAGATTAAGACACAGGTGCCTCTCTGTGACCGTCATCACTGTCATCGAATGACCGATGTCTTGCTGGCCCGGAGCCGTTGAGCAACTGCATGTTCAGGTGACAACCTCTGCCCCTGGTCCACGTCCCTAAGCAGGCTGGCTTAGTTTGTCTGCCCCACCGTCATGACCCACTGCCACATGTGCCTTACCTACGACCCGCGAGGTGGTAAGACCTAAATGAGGATACCTCAGTCTATGAGAGATAGGCATCTCTTCCTCACGAGGCATCTTCATGTAACAGAGCTGTGCGTGAAAACCTCACTCCCCTGATATCAAGGGTTGCTTTAGCCTCCTTGTTGGAGCGTCTCACTCCCATGCAGACGGGTTTGAGTCCTGCTTAGTGCGGGCTGAGGGACTATAGTGGTGCCGTGACCCAGTGGGAGTGAGGTTTAGGGGGGGTGAGTGTAGCAGAGACGCTCTAGCGACTAACGTGAGAGTCTGGGGTCTTTAGCCTTCTTGTAATTGCCATGCAGACGGTTTGAGTCCTGCTTTGAGTGGGCTGAGGGACTATAGTGGTGCCGTGACCCGGGTGGGAGTGAGGTTTAGGGGGGTGAGTGTAACAGAGGCGCTCTAGCGACTGACGTGAGGGTCTGGGGTCTTTAGCCTTCTTGTAATTCCCATGCAGACGGGTTTGAGTCCTGCTTAGAGTGGGCTGAGGGACTATAGTGGTGCCGTGACCCGGGTGGGAGTGAGGTTTAGGGGGGTGAGTGTAACAGAGGCGCTCTAGCGACTGACGTGAGGGTCTGGGGTCTTTAGCCTCCTTGTTATTCCCATGCAGACGGGTTTGAGTCCTGCTTAGAGTGGGCTGAGGGACTATAGTGGTGCCGTGACCCGGGTGGGAGTGAGGTTTAGGGGGGTGAGTGTAACAGAGGCGCTCTAGCGACTGACGTGAGGGTCTGGGGTCTTTAGCCTTCTTGTAATTCCCATGCAGACGGGTTTGAGTCCTGCTTAGTGCGGGCTGAGGGACTATAGTGGTGCCGTGACCCGGGTGGGAGTGAGGTTTAGGGGGGTGAGTGTAACAGAGGCGCTCTAGCGACTAACGTGAGGGTCTGGGGTCTTTAGCCTCCTTGTTATTCCCATGTGAATGGGCCAGGGTTCAAGTCCTGCTTAGTTTCACATTCACATACCCCTGCTCACATAATGCCTCCACATCTGTATGATTTGAATGTTTTAAAGGAAAAAATGGGGGTCCACCTTCAGTGTGAAGGAACGGATGGCTCACCAATTTCTCGTCCAATCAGACGTGAGTGACTTCACACTTCTCACAAGCCCAAGTCCAATTCAACCTGAACGTGGCGTGAGGCATTACATCATGCAGATCCCCACATGCAGGGCAGACAGAGGTCAGAATTTCACCATCATGCCCTATCATGCGCCAGCAACATGCTCTCTGCTAGTGTGGTAGAAAGAAAGAGTGGGATTTCGAATCAGCAGATCGACTGAAATGGCAAGAGGGATTGGGAAATGGACATCCCCCTGAGCGGACCCGCCCGAGCCACGGGTGCAGACGCCCGTTCCTCTTCCCTTGAGAAAAGGTGCGAGTGGAGCTTTTTCACTGATAACTGTTAGCAGTGAGCGCAGTCATCTCCTTCGAGAACTGAACGCAGATGCTCCTGCAAGGCTAAAGATAACATCGAGCTCGAGCGGGTCCTCTGCTGTCATAAAGTGGAGGAACACACTCCCTGAAAATCTTGTTCTCCTTTGTCATGCGCTACAAACTAAAGGCTTCAGAAGACAACAGAGCTGATGCTGTGTAACCTATGGTCCATCTTAGCACGTGTAGTACAAAATAACAGTGACAAGACAGATAATAAAATAATACAAATAGAATGAGTAAATAGGAAATAACAATATACAAAAAAAAATATTTAAAATGTGCACTGGCATGTGACAGCGGTCACTCCGAGGCCATTCCCCATAGCGGCAACACCAAGACTAAAGTAATATGGTGGTAAGATAATGTGTTCAGTGACTGGATCAAAAGAACTGGAGACCAATTTAGCCTAGAATAATAAAAGTACAAACAAGAAAAACTTGACTAAAGAGACAGTGATCTTAAAAAATATTTGGTCACTTCTAAAAGTATAAAAGCCACTGTGTCGGATAACAAACTCTCATATTTAGAGCGGCGCTGGTCTTGATCCTGGCTCACGGGTCACCAACACTGAGTCCAGTGTGAAGAAGTGTGTTTCTCAGAGACATTCAGTGCCTGTGAGTTTGAACATCTGTTCATGAAGCTCGCCGTTGACGTCAGTCACTCCTTTACAGGACAAACGTGTTCACTAAGGAACAAATACAAGCAAAAAATAAGTAGGTAGTAGCAGTAGATTTAGCTGTGGTATTTCCAGCACGCTTCTGTGAGTCAGTGAATGCAGTGCCACAAACACACACACACTAAACACTCTGATCCACACACACACACACACACAAGGAATGACTCATCAGGTCAGTAGAAACTGAAACGAAGTGCCTGCCAGAAATCACAACATTCACTTCTATAAGATTACATACAAACATGAAGATGTCTATTTATTTTGTAATATTTGTTAAAATAAAGTGTTTGCCTTATGATTCTGTGCATTCTCTTTTATTCATGTATAGATTTAAAGTCTCTCATATTTTTTACTAGTGAAACAGAATAGCCAATAAAACATTGTAATATGATTATATTTAATTGTTAATTCTAAAACATAAAATGCCCAGACTCAGTGTATGCACGTGATGATGTGCCGACCTCTAGTGGACGAATGGAAAAACGCAGAACGTGAAGAGTTTGATTTGTGAGATTGCAGGAGGTTCAGGAGTTGATGAACGAAATAGAAAAACATATAAAATTAAAATAAACAATCGTATAATAAAATAAACAGGCTTGTTTTAAAAGAACATAAATATTTGTTTATCCGTCATGTGACGATTTACTGACATTGAGACCTGTTAACATGCATTGAATATATTTAAAAACATACATTTTGAATTATACTTTTAGTTTGCATTAGAATGCATTTAGTCATTTTAGGAGCTTGTGTCATTGTTAGTAATTCCATTTAGTTGTCATTTGATTTGATTACATTTTTAGCACTTTAAATAAACTTAGTTTATTTCAGGTAGTTGACAAGGCAACATCTTTAATTTTCATATAAGTTTTACTGATATTTTCACTTTAGTCACCAGTAGAAACATTGAATGAAATATTTAAATCTCAGGGTGTCTGTATTAAATCTAATATATTATTGCATAAACACTACTGGTCAAAAGTGTGGAATAGTTTGTCATGTTTTAACGATAATAATTCTGCTCATTGTAACTTATAAAAATAATTGAAGAATGACCTTGCTCCTCAGAAACACTGAATCTGAGGCTTTCATAACTTGCTCAACCTGCGATTCAGAAAGTCTTTAAAGGCAGAAGCCGGGTCGCTCAAGTCGAAGCCGAGCTCGAACTCCGGCTCCTTCCCGAGGGCGAGAGCCGCGACGGTCACGGCCAGAGCCGCGGTCAGACCCCAGATCTGGTGCACGTGTCCGGTGCGGGGGTCCGTGAACAGGAAGCTGTGTGTGGGGCCGAAGGCGCTGGGCACCGGATAGCAGGAGTGATCCGCCTCTTTAGTGAAGAACTCCAGAGGAAGAGTGAACACCTCGCTGACTTCGTCTGCGTTGGGACGGGGCACGAACGAGCTCTCGATGAAAGCCACGACCGGAGTGATCAGGAGCCCGGCCTGTGCACAGGGCTTGAGCCATTACAGTTCAAATAATACCCATCAGATTAAACACACAGATATAAGAGCGAACCTGGTTTAGGACGGGGAAGAGTCTGCAGACGACCTGCACGGAGTGTGGAGGAAGGCCGATCTCCTCCTGAGCTTCTCTCAGAGCCGTGTGTGTTTCATCCGTGTCGCCGGGCTCAGACATTCCTCCCGGGAAACACACTTCTCCTGCGTGCCGCTTGAGCTGAGAGAGCGAGGGGAGAAGTGCACTTACAAGGGTACTCACCCACCACTGAAACCTGTCATCATTCACTCACCCTCAGTCTCTTTCTTCTGCTGAACACTAAAGAAGATATTCTGAAGAATGTCAGTAGATGGACCCCATTGACTTCCATTGTATTTTTTTCCATATGAAAGACAATGGGGTCCATCAACTGTTTGGTTGCAAACATTCTTCAAAATATCTTCTTTTGTATTCAGCAGAAGGAGAAAAAAAATGCATACAGGTTTGGAACAACATGAGTCATTTATGACAGAGTTTGACTTTATTTGTGGGTGAACTAACCCTTTTAAGTCGACCTATTATGGAAAAATACACTATAAAAGAATACATTTAAAGGAATAGTTCACTTGCAAATTAGGGTGAGTAAATGTTGACAAAAAAGTGTATTTTATATCTGTTTTCAGACACTTAAATGCAATGTTATAGTTTCAATTTACATTAAATGTAATTAACAGTTTTAAAAGTATATTATATTATCTGAAAGTACAGTTTTTAAAAAATATACTTTTAATATTTGAAGTAGCCTACACTCATTTCTATAAGTTCATGAATGAGGTGTGAATACTGTTGTCATACGGGAGATACTGTGAGATCATGAAGATCTGCTTACGTGGACGGAGCGCACGGTCATGAGCGCGTGCACCTCTCCGTGTCTCAGCAACAGCGGGATCAGCACCGACGCTTTAGGAAGGGTTGCCGGTAACCGGGGAAACGCGTCGCCGCCGGCGTGTTTCTTCAACGACGCGATCGTTTTCTCCTTGAGATCCATCGCTGATTATAAACAAACGTCAGGAGACTTTCACTGTACACTTCCGCTTATCTCAGCCTTTCCCATAATGCTCCTCGGGGCTCTTGGCTCAGCTCCTGTGAAAACATTGCCTGATAACAGACAGAAATAGAACAAACAGTTTGACCAGACTGTAAGTTGAGTTTACGAGTTAAACATTTTTACACTATGGGCGGGGCTAAGTGGCCCTAAAGTCGTTCCTTCTGGTCAGAGAAGTTTGCGTCATTTAAAGTGACAGTGTGGAGGAATATTACTTATTATGAATATCACTGTAACAGAATTACAAAAGATAATTTTCTCAGCCTAGTGTTTATCCATGACTTTGCGAACATACAAAAATAAATAAATAAATAAATATACTTTCTATAACTGAGATTTACATTCTTTTTCTTTGTCAGTTACACAAGAGTTTTTTTGTGGAATGCCAAAGCTGACTTGATTAAAAATAAATAAATATACGAAGAAATGTAAAAAAAAGCAAAAATACATAAATAAATATACAAAGAAATTTAAAAAAGTACAAATAAATGAGTATTTATACTTTTATTTCCTTATTTATATTTTTTCACACATTTATCACTCGCGTCCTAGGGCGTCATCTAACTGACGCTAATCTAACTCTCGACTCGGACTCGACTGTCTTTGGTCTCGGTCTCGACTCAGACTCGACTGTCTTCTTTGGTCTCGGTCTCGACTCGGACTCGACTGTCCGAGTCGAGACCGAGAACAGTCGAGTCCGAGTCGAGACCGAGACCAGAGACAGTCGAGTCCGAGACCAAAGACAGTCGAGTCCGAGTCGAGACCAAAGACAGTCGAGTCCGAGTCGAGACCGAGACCAGAGACAGTCGAGTCCGAGTCGAGACCGAGACCAAAGAGAGTCGAGTCCGAGAGAGAGTCCGAGTCCAAAGAGAGTCGAGTCCGGTCTCGGACTCGACTGTCTTTGGTCTCGGTTTCGACTCGGACTCGACTCTCTTTGGTCTCGGTCTCGACTCGGACTCGACTGTCTTTGGTCTCGGTCTCGACTCGGACTCGACTCTTTGGTCTCGGTCTCGACTCGGACTCGACTCTCTTTGGTCTCGGTCTCGACTCGGACTCGACTGTCTCTGGTCTCGGTCTCGACTCGGACTCGACTGTCTTTGGTCTCGGTCTCGACTCGGACTCGACTGTCTTTGGTCTCGGACTCGACTGTCTCTGGTCTCGGTCTCGACTCGGACTCGACTGTCTTTGGTCTCGGACTCGACTGTCTTTGGTCTCGGTCTCGACTCGGACTCGACTGTCTTTGGTCTCGGACTCGACTGTCTCTGGTCTCGGTCTCGACTCGGACTCGACTGTCTTTGGTCTCGGTCTCGACTCGGACTCGACTGTCTTTGGTCTCGGACTCGACTGTCTCTGGTCTCGGTCTCGACTCGGACTCGACTGTCTTTGGTCTCGGACTCGACTGTCTTTGGTCTCGGTCTCGACTCGGACTCGACTGTCTTTGGTCTCGGACTCGACTGTCTCTGGTCTCGGTCTTGACTCGGACTCGACTGTCTTTGGTCTCGGACTCGACTGTCTTTGGTCTCGGTTTCGACTCGGACTCGACTCTTTGGTCTCGGTTTCGACTCGGACTCGACTCTCTTTGGTCTCGGTCTCGACTCGGACTCGACTCTCTTTGGTCTCGGTCTCGACTCGGACTCGACTGTCTCTGGTCTCGGTCTCGACTCGGACTCGACTGTCTTTGGTCTCGACTCGGACTCGACTGTCTTTGGTCTCGGACTCGACTGTCTCTGGTCTCGGTCTCGACTCGGACTCGACTGTCTTTGGTCTCGGACTCAACTGTCTTTGGTCTCGGTCTCGACTCGGACTCGACTGTCTTTGGTCTCGGTCTCGACTCGGACTCGACTGTCTTTGGTCTCGGACTCGACTGTCTTTGGTCTCGGTCTCGACTCGGACTCGACTGTCTCTGGTCTCGGACTCAACTGTCTTTGGTCTCGGTCTCGACTCGGACTCGACTGTCTTTGGTCTCGGTCTCGACTCGGACTCGACTGTCTTTGGTCTCGGTCTCGACTCGGACTCGACTGTCTCTGGTCTCGGTCTCGACTCGGACTCGACTGTCTTTGGTCTCGGTCTCGACTCGGACTCGACTGTCTTTGGTCTCGGACTCGACTGTCTCTGGTCTCGGTCTCGACTCGGACTCGACTGTCTTTGGTCTCGGACTCGACTGTCTTTGGTCTCGGTCTCGACTCGGACTCGACTGTCTTTGGTCTCGGACTCGACTGTCTCTGGTCTCGGTCTTGACTCGGACTCGACTGTCTTTGGTCTCGGACTCGACTGTCTTTGGTCTCGGTCTCGACTCGGACTCGACTGTCTCTGGTCTCGGACTCGACTGTCTTTGGTCTCGGTCTCGACTCGGACTCGACTGTCTCTGGTCTCGGACTCGACTGTCTTTGGTCTCGGTCTCGACTCGGACTCGACTGTCTTTGGTCTCGGACTCGACTGTCTTTGGTCTCGGTCTCGACTCGGACTCGACTGTCTCTGGTCTCGGACTCGACTGTCTTTGGTCTCGGTCTCGACTCGGACTCGACTGTCTTTGGTCTCGGTCTCGACTCGGACTTGACTGTCTCTGGTCTCGGACTCGACTGTCTTTGGTCTCGGTCTCGACTCGGACTTGACTGTCTTTGGTCTCGGACTCGACTGTCTTTGGTCTCGGTCTCGACTCGGACTCGACTGTCTTTGGTCTCGGACTCGACTGTCTTTGGTCTCGGTCTCGACTCGGACTCGACTGTCTCTGGTCTCGGACTCGACTGTCTTTGGTCTCGGTCTCGACTCGGACTCGACTGTCTTTGGTCTCGGACTCGACTGTCTTTGGTCTCGGTCTCGACTCGGACTCGACTGTCTCTGGTCTCGGACTCGACTGTCTTTGGTCTCGGTCTCGACTCGGACTCGACTGTCTTTGGTCTCGGTCTCGACTCGGACTCGAGTGAGCTGGTCTCGACTACAACACTGATGGTAAGTACATGTAACAAGGACACTGTCAAATAAAATGTTACCAAATTGTCAAAGTTCTGTTGCTTGACAGTTCCTGTATTTATTTAATGTGTGTGTAGTATGCTATGATTTCATCTGGTTTTCTTATGTATATATAAAATACTTTACATATGATATCTGTGTCAAGCATTTTGGATATCATTCATGTTGCGTCAGCATCATTATGTACATCTTATACAATATGGTAATCATTACTGACATGTTTTATCATTACACATAACTGTATATTAAATATAAAGCAGCTATATTGTCAAATAGATTGTGTATGCCAGGGTGTCGGAGACCCAAAAGCGACTTGCAGCTACTAACAGTGATTAATGAATATGGAAGCTGTCCACAGGCAAATCAGTAATGAACAGAATTCTTCAGAAAATACGAAATGTTGAACAAAACTGCCAGGAGACTGGACTAGGGAAAACACACCATAAATCCTCCTCTAGGACAGCGTAATGCAGGAAGCTGAGACTGATGGAAGAGCACGTGGAAAGAGCGGTGAGTGTGTGACCAAAAGGGGGAGCCAGAGAAAACAGAAAGATACCAGGACCATGACTGTGTAACAATAACAATTTATATATTTATATACAATAATTTATTATTAATGTATTGAAATAATAATTATTGTTTGTAAATGGTTGATATTTTACATAGTTACAGCACAGTGAAAGAGCAACATCTGTCTCCAGGCTCTTGAAGGCCCTCCGGAGATGTTTCCAGAGCACCTGTGGCCTAGCTGGGATTTTCCCACCTGTGAAGGGACATGTGCCACATGTCAGACTCAAAGTTAATCATCATCAGAAACTTCAGTGCACTGAAACTGAATAGCTCTCCGGTGTCATTGAGCTTATTGCCAGTCATATTTCAAATCTGAAATGTTACAGAATGGCGTTTATCTTGTTTGTCTTCTGTTATTGTTTGGGCTGAGTAACAGTGGAGCGTTGAAAGAGCCTCATCCAGATCTTTCAGACCGGGAGCTTTTCTGGGGAGCGGATCAGTATGACTTTGCCATCATACTCCGCGCCAGAGACCTCCAGTGCTTCTGGCACTTTGCTCACCATGGAGAACGCTTCTACTTAAACTTCATGGTAAGACATTAATCTGCATTTAAATATCAGTATGCTCTTGAATCCTTTGAGTGTTACAGCTCAGCATGTGTGTGTTCAGGTCCAGCTGGTGACTGGCGTGGCCCTTGATTCACATCTGTCTGTGATTGTTAATGCGCCGAGCGGCTTAATAGTCGGCAAAGTTGACGATGCAAGTGGTCAGATTGGCTTAAGTGTTGAGGAGACTGGTGAGTCTCACCTTCATACTGGTTTTAGTTAATGTGCTGTCTGTGCTATGAACAGAGAAATCATCTGTTTTTACAAACCAAAGTGGATTTAATGTGGACCATGCAGAGAAATAATACAGACACAAAATAATTCAAGGAGAAATTTAAAAATTATGTTGTTCCAAATGTGTATATTATTTTCCCCCCCATAAAATATTATACTCAATTATTTAACATCAAAGTACCATACTAAAAGTCACACTTTCAAACATAAAAAATATAAAAATTGAATAAATCAATCAATCAAGCAATAATCATGTGTTACCGTGCAGGTTTTTATCAGATGTGCTTCAGCAATTTCCACAATCGCTTTGGAAGCATGCAAGTTTTCCTGAACTTTGGTGTGTATTACGAGGGACAAGAGACCACTGAGAAAAAAAAGGAAGAAGAGAAGAAAAAGAAAGAGGAAGATATGAAACAAATAAACAGTACATTGTCCTTCATTGAGGTAATCAACAACTGCATTTAGTGGCAACAAACACATCCTTAGTGTAATGTGATTTGCTTATACAGTATGTATTTGAATTTCTTGTTTTTCATCTCTATTTTAAAAACAATGTGAAATATTAAATAGATTTGGTTATTTTTTTACACAAAAAATATGTCTAGTATTTCACATATATTGTTTTCCACCACCCAACTGAATAACGTTTTGCGCTGCATACAGGAGAGCAGCGTCAGACTGCAGAGGTTTGTCTTCCACATGTGGCGTCACTACAACTATGAGCGAATGAGACGAGGAGCTGATTTCTACCTGCTTCAGTCCAACTCCACTTATGTGAACAGCTGGT